GTGTTATAAATACATCCCTCCAATTCGTGTCATATTCTAGCAGGGGTTTGAAAGAATATAATCTTTTGAAAAATGATGTAACCTCAACCAACTCCTTGTGGGGTTTTTTTGGGGGGGATGTGTATTTTGTTTTTCAGATGTACAGCCCTGCTGTGTTTCAGAGCTAAGGTTCAGAATGTTCTAACCAGCTCGAAGTCGGGGCTTTAGGAAAATTCCACCCTTACCTTTTCACAATTAGAAAGGTTATAAATAATGTATTTGGCTGAAAAGGAAGCCCAGCCGGTGGCAGATGGTACGATTCTAGAGTACCGGGGCTTCTGTGAAGATGGCGTTCTTTTAGATCGGAACTTCAGCAGACTCTCAGAGAAAGCCAGAACTCCTCGCCGGGCGCAGACATGTGCTTTATGGCTCTTAGAAAAGCTTACAACCTGGCCCCTCGAGGGGAAGATTGTGTCACCCTGGTGTTAGCAAGCACGTCACAGCCAATGTCTGCTGACTTCCAAATTGTGTCTCCCGACACTGGTGGCTGGGGACCTCGTCATTGGTGGGGGTTACGCTGTGGCTTTTGAACTTGGGCTTTAAACCGGAGGAGTTTTTTTCAGCCTGATTGTTTCCTTCCCTGAACGTGGATGCTTTTACACAACCGGCCACTGACTAGGAAGATTCGTGGTGCAGATCGTGCCCTTTTCCCGGTGCTTTGGAGAAGCTCGTATAAATAGACACCGGGAGAACCGGGGTAGCGTCGGCACCGAGCGCTGATTTCCGAGACATCTGTGTGGATGGAGCTTAAAACGCATGGGAAGGAATCTCTCACAAATGAAAGAACAAAGGTTCCTCAGACTCTTGAGTTCTCTCTTGACAGCTGAAAGTGATGGATTTTAAAAGATTCACGTGACAATTAAGCTGCCGTCACCTTTGACCTTGAAGGAAAAAAGGAGTGAGAGGAGGATTTTCTGGTAGCCTGCAGGCACGACTTATTTCAGTGACCTTTTACTGATCACCAAATATGTGCCCAGACCTGTGATGAGTCCCGGCTACACAGAAATAAGACCCAAGGCTCACCACCTAGTAGAAAATAAACAGCATTGGCAGGTGCTCTGTACAGGACGTTTGGGCCAGCGGGAAAGGCCTCGCAGGAGTCCCCACTGAAACTGTACCCGAAAGGGTGAGCAGCTGTTACCTAGACATGGGAGAGGGCGTGGGTCACCCCTCCAAGTCAGGGGAGTCAGTTACCAGGTGCAGGCCAGCTTCAGAACACACCACCAAATTGGAATATTGAACCAAAGGGAAATACTCTTTTTTTTGGTTGGTGTCTCCTCTTGCTATCTCTGGACCCGACTTATAATTTAATCATTTAATTTGTATACTCTGTTTTTCCTAAGGAAATTTACTGGACTTAAAAGACATCATTTGAAGATTTTATCTGAGACTCTTTTGTTGTTTAAAGCGAAGTCTTCCAACTGGTCTGAAAGGTGGTCGTATAACAAAAGCCAGGGAGGAGGGAGGCGGAGGGCTGTCGTGGTAATTAACTTCCCTTAAGTCCAAGCTTAAGGAAGTTCCAGGCTGGGTGCTAATTGCATCACCGAGTTGGTTATTTTGTCTGTTGTTTGCCCAAGTGTAGATAGTATGTGTCTTCAAGGCACTATTTTTCTAGTGACTTGTCCAGTGCTTGGCACATAGGAGGAGTTTGGTAGGTAGATGCTGAATGAGTTGGGTGAGGGGGGAGAAACACCTGTATGAATGGATGCTCAGGACAACCCACGAGGTCCGCGCCGCTGTTCAGTTCCCATTTAGGACCGGGGATTGCGATGGTAGTTGATTCATTTGACTGAGGTCGCAATACCAGTGTGCGACCCATCTTGGACTTGAATGCAGATTTAGCCAATTCTGCTTCATCAAATGAACATTTAGTGTGTGTTTAAGACACGCCAGGCATTTGGGCTGGAAAGGAACATGGGGCCCCAGACCTGCAGGGACTCACAGTGTACAGAGCAGTGTTTTTAGCTACTGGTCTTTAAACCAGTGTTTCCTTTTGATTGATAGAAGAATCCTAAGCCTCCCCCTTAAAAACGTGGACCTTTGTCTACCCCCCCCACCCCACCCTCTGGTCTGTCTTTACTGTGCAGGAAAATCCTATCACACTTGACTTTCTGCTATTGGTGTTATCAAAACAATAAGTGGTTCTTTATGATTTTCCAAATTGAAGATACACCACTGAACATGGTCTTTCAAATACCATGTGCTCCACGAAAGTCTGAAATCTCTCTTCCCTGCCCTTGAACCTCATAGCACTAGTCAGGTGCCACGCCAGAGCCTTCAGGAGGGATTTTACCACGAGGGGGCAAAAACGTCTCGTGCGGTGGCTGTCTGCACAGTTGAGTCGTGAGACAGATCACTGCGTATTATTCCAGTAAAAACAGAGTTGACCCCAAATTACCTGAATTACGGAATATGTCCCAGCCCCCTGAAAGCGCAGAAAGATAGAGAACCTTGAACGCTGCTTTGGCATGCGTCATAGCCCGTGGATTAGCCTTTTGATTTGTGTCTTGCTTGGGCTAATATTTACATTAATCCGAGTTCCCTAAGCACACCCTACTTGACAGAGGGGAAAGCATCCAAAAAGTCACTTAAGGACAGAGCCTACCAATTTAGGGTTAAACAAAGGCAGAAGGGAGCTTTGATGATCACGCACATATGGGTATTATTTTCCACACATGGATAATAATGAACTGCATAGCACTGTTACATATGGGCTCCCGTTGTATAAAAATATTTCAGATTTTTTTCCCCGTGCACATGATGTATTTTTTCTCCCCTCCCCCACCATATATTTTCCACTGTTGGTCTACTAAATCCCATTAGGTTGAAATGATCTGTTTACATGTCTCTTCCTAATAGTAAACTTCTTGTTGGCAGAGGCTGTGTCTTACCCTCCTTTGCTTCCCTGGTACAGCCAGGCACATAGTAGGTATGAGGCAAAGAGCAAATCTCATAGACAGACCAAAAGGCAAACTCCAGTAGCCTGGACATTTGTCAGCAAAATTTAGATATGTCATCCGTTTCTGAAAATGACATCAGCTACATCAGAATTTCCATGTACTGTTATATGAATGTTTAAGAATCTTCCAGCACGTCTATATTGAACTGTAATAATTTTTTTAAAATTGGACCTAAGTAGAAGACTGTGGGCTGTCTGTCGCCCATTTGCAGAATCAACGGTGATTCATCAGCATTCTCACTAGTTTTATTAGCGTCTGACTTTATTGATCCGTCATTACAATAGAGTAAGTGTGATTGAAGCTGACAGATTGTTAACCAGATCGGGTGATCTTCTGGCTCAGGCTTTGGCAACCTTGCTAAGTATCTTTTTGGACTTTGGACGGGAAGGATGCTTTTAGTAAAACTGCACGCTCCTGGATTAATGGCGAAGCATCACGAGCCCATGAAAAATGTCTTTTTAGGGAAATACAATGTGAAAATGACTATAAAGTAGGACATGTCGAGAAAAAAAGATAGCACAGTGCCTCTTAGGAGAGCGAGCCGTGTTTTACATAAATAATGTACCCCCAGCTTACCCTTCCCTGGAAGTTCTTCAAAGATCTCCAGGGTTTACATATAACAGGAATGTGTGCATGTTATGAAGTTAACACTGATCACGGATATCAGGAAAATCTGTGTTAACCAAAAGGAGGGCTTTACCTGAGAAGTCGCTTAAAGAAGATACTGCTATAAAAATACTTTTGTCCCCAGACTGGCTTTTTCGGTTGTTCACTGGCCTCCCAAACAAGGCTGCCTTCTGTAAACTGTCTCACCATAGTCTAACTGAAGTCTGAAATGTCAGTTCTCCTGTTTCTATACAGAGGAGTGGAGGATGGATTGGTGCTGCAAAGTCTAATTATTCCTACGACTCAATTGGAAATTAATTTAGCCGCTACTAGAGGATATGAGTGTTGTGGTTAAAAATAACCGTGATTGAGTCACTGAAATTATCAGTACCAAAATTCGCTGGGAAGAAAATGAGTTTTAGAAAACCAGCAAACTAGTAATACATCAAAAATCATTGTCTTTCTTCATTTGTATATGTTAAACTGTCAACTCTGTTTTTCAGGCTTTTGTTAGAAAAAGGGTGCAGACATGTGACAAAATAAGTCATTTGCTTTTTGTGTGTATGTGTGTGTGGTGTCCTTGAGAAATCAGTTACCATGAAATGCATATATTTAAAAATTGTAGGGGTAGTTGGAAATTCAGAGCCCAAGCTTTACTCTACGTGAAGCCAGCAGTAAGATGGCAGCCTAGTTTTTTTTGTTTTGTTTTTTCCTTTTGCTGGAGGTTCTTTGTGAATAGTTTGTTTCTCCTTCAGTGTGGTCAGTCAGCCTTTGAACAGTGCTAGTTTGGCTCTAGTTGAAACCCAAATAATAAGAGTGGAAAGAACAAGTGGTGGTTCCCAAACTCTAATGTGCACGCAGATCCCCAGGGGAACCTGAAAAAGTGCAGGTACTGAGTGACTGTCCGTGGGAGGGGCCACTGCTCTGCATCTCTGATAAGCTCCCAGGTGATGCCGAAAGTGCTGGTCCCCGGGCCATACTGGGAGTTGCAAGGATGGAGAGCCCAGACTCTAAACCACAAAGTGGCATTTATTTCTGAATTGCGATCAGAAAGTCACCTTCAAGTATTCGGATTTATCGGGATCGGTGAAAGTTCGTCAGCGCAGGAGTAGCCAACATTGATGGAGGTCCCTTAAATTCAAGAGCAGAGTCTATGGGTGTGATAGCTTTATACCAGTCTCCGTGGGCTGTTGCTTTCTAGTGAAATAAGCATTGGATGGTCCACTTTATGAATTTTAAGAAGTCGAGGCTTTAGGCTAAAGTGTGAAACAAAAAAGGTATGGGTACTCAGTTGATGTGGGGAAAAAAAAAATACATTCCCACCATCGAATTCATTTCTGTGTCCTGCCTTGTGTTTCGATGTATTACAAATGTTTCCCCCCCTTCTCCATGCAGAGTATGATTTCTTCCATTGTGAACAGCACTTACTATGCAAATGTCTCAGCAGCAAAATGTCAAGAATTTGGAAGGTGGTACAAACATTTCAAGAAGACAAAAGATATGATGGGTAAGCAGAAATCCCTGCCCGGGGTGGCTCTGTACCATTACTTGTCATTGGGGGGTGGGAGCGGTGATCAAAGTCACACCGAAAGCCAGGTCTTGTGATTGCCCAATTAGAGATCCATTTAAAATCTTTCTTTGCTGGTGGGGAGTGGGTCTGAGTCTAATGAGATAATGAAATTCCATAAATGTTTGTGTTTAAATCAGCCCAACTGACTTGGTTGTCAGACTTGCCAGAGATCCAGGCGAGGGGAGAGGAGCTGTCATTTTTTAACATCTCAGTGAAGACCTAACCTGGCCTTGAATAACGAATATTGGCCATGGTTCCTCTCAGAGAGAAATCATGCTTTTATGTTTTGGGATTTTTGTTTACGAGACGGGGAGGGTGCCTATTTTTTCCACCCAAGTTTTAAGGAAATTAAATAGTGTTTATAGTCCCCAGAGTTGGGTTCAAGGGACTGGTAGAGCTGCCCCCTTGGTAGGTACAAGGGTGAACATCCTTTTTTTCCCTTTTTTTTTTTTGGTGGGAGGAGGTCTGAGCATCCTGTCACCATCCTTACCCAGAGAACCATTGCGTCATTTCTAAACTTTGCATGCCAACATGGCGTCCTATCTCAAAATGTAACTTTAGGTCAATATTTGTTACGCAGGAAATACATTAAAATTATCTGCAGTGTGCAATGACAGATAAAAGTTGTGTGTTGTACCTGAGCATTTAGATTATGACATTTTCTCCCCGTTGAGTTCATTAGTGTTCATAAAAGCAAACACTGTGATTAAGGTTAATGTTTTAATTTTCTATTAAGGCTTTCTTTCACATACTGGTACCTTCCAAATAAAATATCTTTAAAATAATATAGGAGTGGGACATTTAATATGCATAGCATTATGTCCTGTTTTAAATCTGTTTCTGTTTCCTGCCATGACGTTCCTTTAATAAAGCAACAATATTAACTTTTCCTTAAGATTTTAAGAGGCAAGAGAACCTGAATTTTGAGCATGTTTTAGCTTTTAATATTTGAAGCAAAACCATCCATCTACCAAAACAGATTCTCTGCCTTTTATAGCTTAGAGCTGTAATGAAGACAATGCATCATTTTTGGAATAATTGCTTGAATTACTATTCCCTCTGAATGGCCCACTTGGGCTGATATCACTGGTAGAAAGGGAAGGTTTCTTCCCCAATTCTTAGTTATATTTTGCACATCTCAGTGACTATAGCAATCAGTTCCTGTAAATATAAAAGCCTGAATATATAATGAAAAGAGAAATGATGATTAAAATTAACCCGGAGTCCATACATGGAAAGCATGGTGTACTATTTGGAAAGACTCACCTGTTTCCCATCCTCAATCTTTCCAGTCGAGAGCATCAAACCAGCCTCCTCCTTATAACAGCAAAGTGTTTGGCATACTGACTGCTCACTCTCAGTCCATCCACCTGCAAGGTCTAGCCTGGGGAGAAATATCCAGCCCGGGTGGCTGGTTGTAAATTGCAAAATCGTGACAGTATCACCGTTGTACCAGAACTGACTCCCCACCCCTTCCTTGAGAGATTGTCTTTGGCATCTGGTGATAGCCATAACTTCTTCAAGAAACATTTGGGCCTTGGCAATACTGGGTATACCGGCTTGCAGTACAATAAATCATTTGCTTCATTCTAAGAAATATTTGCGGACATCCCTGCCGTCTAACAGGATGGTTAGAATTACGTGACACAGGATATATAAGATACTCAACACAGTGTTCCAAATGTACTTTGTTATCATTACTTATCATCATGACCCACTTTTATTATTTATTATATTGATTGCTTTTTTATATATTCTTGGCTAGGTTAAAATTTAACATAAATAACATTTATGTCCTCTTTTTTTCTTTCAAACCTTTTGCCTAGAGTAGTAACAGTTAATAAGTATTAGGAGAAAATACGGGTGTATTTCTATTTTCTTAAGTTGGCCTATGGACTTTTCTTAGCCCCACCCACTCCTAATTACCATTAAGCAAATAGTGTTCTTCTAGAAGTTACTTTAAAATAAACATTGCTTTATAAGCCTCTTTGGGGTGATAAGTAAGAGTGAATAATAGTTTGACCCCAAAACTAGTCACATAGAATTTGAAAATAATTGATTTCATGCCTTCAACCTAAACTGCCTTCTAAAATGAGACCAAAAAGTGTCATCCCACTTTTTGAAAGTCGGTGGAAAGGTGCACAAGAGGGAAGTCAAAAGACAGACAGTGGGGTTCCAGCCTGGAATGTTCTGGGTTTAGTTGGATCTGCGGTGTGCCCCGTGTGCCAGCTGTCCCCTTGCAGGGAATGATGGGAGATCTTTATCAAAGCGGGTCACCATTGGCTTAACATGATTTTGCTTTTTATCCACTTCAGTCGAAATGGATAGTCTTTCTGAACTGTCCCAGCAAGGTGCCAACCACGTCAGCTTCGGCCAGCAGCCGGTCCCAGGGAACACGGCGGAGCAGCCCCCGTCCCCCGCGCAGCTCTCCCACGGCAGCCAGCCCTCTGTCCGGACCCCACTTCCGAACCTGCACCCTGGGCTTGTGTCAACGCCCATCAGTCCTCAACTGGTCAACCAGCAGCTGGTGATGGCCCAGCTGCTAAACCAGCAGTACGCAGTCAACAGACTTCTCGCCCAGCAGTCCTTAAACCAACAATACTTGAACCACCCTCCCCCCGTCAGTCGATCTATGAATAAGCCTTTGGAGCAACAGGTTTCAACCAACACAGAGGTGTCTTCCGAAATCTACCAGTGGGTACGCGATGAACTGAAACGAGCAGGAATCTCCCAGGCAGTATTTGCACGTGTGGCTTTTAACAGAACTCAGGTCAGTTTTGTTTTGCTCAATTTGGAAATGGTTCTCCTCCCTCTTTCTCTTTCTTCTTTAATCCCAGCTATACTAATATTTATTCTTTGATCCTCCACTCACATTTTCTCCTTCTCTCCCTGTGATTGTGTTGTCTTTTCCTGGGAGAGGTGCCTAAATTTGATCGCTCCTTTCCCTATCAGAAACGGGGGCTCCTCTCCCAAGAGAGAGCTGTGGATAGACGGCTTCTGATTCAGGGACCTTGAAAGAATAAATATCGAAAATACTCTAAACTGACACTTTTACATAATGGAATCATGGACTGTTGGTAGTAGCGGACTGAACAGTTGCATGACTTCATTGAGGCCATTGGGAGGACCCCAGGCTCTAGCCTGCTCTCTGTCTTTCTGAGACCAGGGATCCGAAGACCTCTTCTGTAGCAGGCCAGACAGTAAATATTTCAGGCTTTGTGGACCATAGCAGCCAGAGACAGAAATGAATGGAGGTGAATTTGGTGTTTCAGTCCAACTATTTACCAAACAGGCCCTGGGATAGGTTTAACCTTGGAGGCCTTAGCTGGAGATGTGTCACTGAGATCTGCATAAATCCCTTGTGTTCCCACCTTTGACCTCCAGGGCAAATTCCTGTGAAGATATGATCAGCATGGGCGATGTTTAGCAGAATGTGGAGAAAGGGTGATACCCATGGGAAGGCCTCTGATAAAGATAGTTGAAAAGCCCGACATGAATTCATTCTATTAAACTGTGAATGAGAGGATTTTTTAAAACTTTTTTTGGAAACTGGTATGATATATAGTGTTTATCTGGGGCCTAGGCACACACTCACAGCAAAAAAAAAAACAGCAGAATGTGTAACTTTGATTATAATGAGGACATGATGTCCTTTTAACTTTCTTGTTTTGCCACTATTCTTTCGTCAATTTTTTTTTGGCCTGACTCATACTTTCCCTTCATATTTAAGTTATTTTGTTTATTATATGATTATAAGAATAAAATCCCGGTACAAAAATATCTAGTATTAATTCCTTGCTGGCAGAGTTTCCAGACCTAGGAGAGTCCCAGCTGTGACTTATTTTTGGCTTGCCTTTACTGGATTGAAAGTTAGGAGGCCTTACAAAGCCTTTAACTCAGTGTTTGTGTTCCGTTTCTTTCACTGTTTTTTTGTGCATCATTTGTCTGATTTTAAAAGGGCAGTTGCAGAGTTAGGTCTCATGTTAAAATTGTATGGTTTTACCTAGTTGTGTATTTTTACAAGCTAAAAATGTCTTTATTATTTGCTGGTAAGTTTAATATGACACCTCCATTCGGTTGGGGGTGGGTCATTATTTTTAAAAAACGAACGAATGAATGTATCAAGTCAACCTTCTAGAGGCTCCTGTTTCTGGGGCATTCTTTATTTTCGTAAATAGCAGTAACAACCAGTAGTGCAAAAAAACAGACAGGTCTCTGCATAAAAGTTCAATGAGATGCTTGTTGAGTTGGATTGAAAGCCCACGAAGACAGCATTGACTTGGACACAAATGACTTACCGATAAGCACTTTGGAAATTGAGCAAATTGTTCTTTGTTAAAGCACCAAGGACGGCATGTTTTATATGGTGAAGAGGGTCCAGCTGAAGGAGAAAAGGGTGAGGTCAGCCCCCATCAGTGCGTTCTGTCTTCTCTGGGGCTGTAAGGTCCAGACTTTCCCCAGGAAAGTGACCATTTGTTCTCCTTGGGTTAGCACATGGACGGAGTCCACAGATACCCATAGGATTTGTTACTGGAAAAAAAGGCAGAGCTCTCTGTCTTTTTGTACCATATTAATCTCTCCGAAAAGATAGTCATCTCTGTGGTTAACATCGAAAATGGTGACTTCATGTTCTTTTTGAGGGTGAGAGGGGAATGAAGTCCTGCTTGTTACAGGTCTCTTTATTAGAAAGAGTCGTTACCAAAAATTTATTGGGATCCCCGGGTGACAGAGGGGTCTGATTTTACACCTTCCTATTGGTAATCGGTGCTCCTCAGTTAAAGCGGTTATTCGACCGTATCTGAAGCTGTTTGATTTCAATGAGAGTCAATTTCTGTGTATATTTAAGTGTTCACTTTTGGGGAATTTGCTTTGGGACATGCAAGCCATGCGTGTCTTTCCGGTGGTCACACTTAAACACCGCGCACGCGCACACGCACAGCTGCATTTATCTTAATGATTGCACATTCATATGAATGCATGTAGTGTGTTTATTTCAAAGTGTATGCATTTCAATAAAAGCAGGTGCAGCGCGAGAGTGTATGGTGTGAGTGTGGAGGACGAAAATACGCATGCTAATGCATATGTATAGAGCGGGAGCTCTGCGGAGTTATACTGCACATCACACATTTGTGTGCACTTATTACAATGTGCAATTCCAGCTCCAAGTTTAAAAAAAAATGTAAAATATGTACATACAAATGCAGAATTCTGTGATATGATCGGATAAAGACATTCGTACCCTATAAACAGAGTATCAAAACATTCATATAATAGATGATGCTGGTGTGAGTTGAGAACATTTTAGCCATTTAGCCATTGACATTAAAATCCTGGGTTTCATGTTTTAACTCTTAACTGGAGAATTTTCTCATCATCCTAATTGGGTCTCCTAAATTAAAACATACCCCTCTCTTGAGATGTTCACTTATCACTATTAAAAAAATAAAAAAGTCTACCTCTTCTGAAAATTTGTGATGAAATTTATATAATTACTTGGGTTTTTTAAACTTTTCTTTTTAATGAAGTGTAGTTGATTTACAATGTTAGTTTCAGCTGTACAGCAAAGCAATTCAGCTATACATACACATACATGTATATACATATATTTTCAAATTCTTTTCCATTATAGGCCATTACAAGAAATTGAATATAGTTCCCCATGCTATACAGTAGGTCCTTGTTGTTTATCTGTTTTATATACAATAATGTCTGTCTGTTAATCCTGAACTCCTAGTAGAATTACTTGTTTTGAGGACTCTTTCCCCTTCGAAATTGATGGGTATATGTTCTTTAATTGCTACTGAAAGTACCAGCTTTTAGCATATGTCATTCATTCAGTTATGCCTACTTGATGTCTTTTTAATAGAAACCTATGGCTCACATTAATTGCCGAAGCCTCTAGATTTATACTTTCCAGTTCACTTCTCTGTATTATTGCTATTTAAAGGTTGTGATAGAAGAAACTATATTCTTTAGTGCCTTTTTTTTTTTTTAATAAAACCCAGAGTTTAACTCTGATCCCATTCTCTGCTTTTTTCCCTTTTTTTCCTCCCCCCCTCCTGGTCTTTGGCACACTTCATTTTCCAGTAAAATAAAGAATGAAGATGGATTATTCAAAACTGATAACAGTAATGGACCATCATGTAATGTTTTATTGAATTTGAGTTCTGTAAATTATGTGGTGGAGAGAAACTTGCCTGCTTAAGTATAACAGAAATTGCTCCTGTGTCCCTATAATTCTTCACAGTGTAATTTAAGAAAAGTCTACTATCCATATCACTATTGAATAAAAGGTAAAAAGGTGCTATTACCCCGACGTGACAGCTCTCGTTTGGCCTCGCAAACGACAGAGATAAATGTGTCTGCTTATAACTTATTTGGCCTGAGTCCAGGGTAGTGGGTGGAGTTTGAAAGTAGCCTTCCACCTGGACACGTGATTAGAAATTCACCCAACAACAGAGGCAGGTAGTCTTGAAGAATATTAATATTCTCCATGTTTTATTTTTAGGGGGAGGTTTTATCAAATCATATTTTCCTGCGGAGGGCTTTGAAGTTCCACGAAGCTGATAAAATCTATTTGAATCAGTGATTATGTTCAAAGAGGAGACAAACTAGAGGCCAAACTGGCTTTTTTGTTCAGATTGGCGGTCTCTTTCACTTATCTGCTGTTTTAAAGAATTCGTTATTAGCTTTTGGAAGTGCTGATAATATTTATTGAGGGTTTTTTCTTTCTTTTACAATTACTAATGAATTTTACTTGTAAACTCTTTCTGGAATGTAAAAAGAAAAAAAAGGTTTAGGAATTCATCTGCAAGTTCACTCTTTAACTGGAAAAATTAGAATGCTCACAATCACTGTGTAACGACCGTGCAGACTGATTTTATGTTTCCAAGGGGTCAGAGCAAATATTGAATGATTTGAAGATGTGACGCACAACAAAAAGCAACTTCTCATTCCCCAAAAAATCAATGTCCGTGAGGTGCTGGTAACTTTACATAACAGACCAATTCTCAAGTTCTTTGCAGAAACAAGAAGGACTAATGATTTTGCTCCGTTTTCATTCAGCAACTGTGTTATGCCCCTGTGGTGCACGGTAGTGATTCATTTTAGTCCTAGTGTGTCTGCCATAGCCAAGTATGGTACTTGACAAGCTTGATGTACTATCTTTTATCATGAAGAAGAGTTTTTGGTAAGACATCCCTCTTACTATGCACCATGGGGGATTACTACACATGACCTTGACCTAACTTGGCAAGTCCTAACTGTATTTTCAACCATGTGGAAATGGAAATGCGAGACAAGAGCCATGGGCATCTTGAATCCATAAATGTGGCTACTCAAGTAACAGCAACCAGAATAGGACCAAAACGTGCATTTCTGCATCCAGATTCTAATGGCAGTCATTTTGCATCCAGAATTTTCTCGGGTGATGACTTTTTCTTTTTTTTTGTAAGTAATTAACACTTTCTATTCAGGACATTTTCTAATAATATTTTCAAGCATTTCCACCAGGGGGCACTCCCCTCATTGAAAGCCTGGGCCAAAAAAAAAAAAAAAAAAAGAAAGAAAGAAAGAAAGAAAAAGAAAAACCCCAAAGGTTTGTAAAACACCTGAGACTGTCTACACCGGCTGCCTGAGTATTCCAGGGTTTGAAATATCACTCCAGACTTTCAACATATTCCAGGCAGAAAAAAAACTGCACTTGCTCTAGTTAGAATAATTAAGTGGAAATAAAATGTTTTGCCCTGAAAACATTTTATATGCTCAAATGGGAAGTCATGCCAACATCAAAATATGGGGAGAGAAATTTCTAAATCCTCCCCCCAGGTGGCCTGCTGTCTTTTCCTTTAAGCCATACAGGAATTACTCACGTTAGCAAGACTTGACATTATTGTGTGTTTTTTCACGTGCTGGCTTTCTCACTGTACTTCCCTGCTGTCTCGGAAGCATTCCTAACAGAAAGATGATATTTTGTTATTGGAGATTTCTGAATGCCTAACTTCAAATTTCCCAAATATGATAACATCCTAAGTGTTTACAGGATCTCTTTTGACTTGAAGTATTTTTTTTTCAATTATGGAACAGTTTAGTCTGGATAAACAAACATCGTAGAGAGTGCCACATAACTTCTCACTGAAGGCTCACCTTGAGCAAATTAATAATTACCAATAGACTTTTCCCAGGGGTAGCATATCTCATCCTTAGGTTTGTCACCCATTTGTAATTTTCTCCTTCTATGGTCTGAATATACGTAATCCATTTAGTAAATATTTATCAAACACCTATGTGGCAGGCATCTTGCTGGGATGATGGATCAGTCTACCCAAGGAATTTATAACACTGTATTTAGGTGTACCGGATGTTTCTACATCTTTCTGTATAATTAAGATATATTGCTTTGCCAAGTCCATCTTTTAATACCTTTTAAACTTTTTATCCCCATTTAGTGGGGAAGAGTGGAGAGCAAGGGTTATTTTTTCCCACCTGTTTTCCAACGTTGTTTTGGAGACCTGGGTTTTTCGATTCCAACGTGATACTTTGAAAACACAGTCTAATTCGCTGGCCTTGTGAGAATTAAATAGCTGGATGATTGACTGCCTTTTAGTTTGACTGAATTTTAGTTAAATTGACTGGATGTTGTGCTCTTGTGTAAACATGGTTGCAGCGGTACTTGTCAGTGTTATGAATGGAGGGACATGTACCCTTCATCCTTCAATAGCGTTTCTTAGGGTGAAACCAAAAGTTTGGGTCTCATTTGCATAGACACAAGCGATAGACTAAAGTGTACGCTTAAGCCCCCTGAGCCTATTGGAAGTTCTTTTTTAATAGCAGCCCATAGACCATTTTTAAAGTGGATAGTGCTTTTATATTGTCTATACCCAACTGTTCTATTGGGGCAGTAGGGTACACTCTCCCAGAGGAACTGGGGATGAAACCAGGTTGGCAACTTCTAGAAAACCATTGAAAAACCGCAGTGGTATAACCTGGGGCTCGATTATTTTGTCAGAACACTTAACCTCCTTTCCCCAAATGTATCGTGTCTCCATTTCTGCAGGGTTATGAGAAAGTGAAATTTGCAGATTATTTGGAGATCTTGACATTTTATTCTGAGCTCTTGTGTGACGAGCTGAAATGTGGGAAGCAGACATGGCTTGGCATGCCAGGCATCACTTCATGTGCGGCTGGAAGAGGTCAGGGCTGCTCAGCTCTTATCAAATGGACAGAAAATGTTTCTAATCCCTGTATTTCATATAATCCCGTATATATCCCTTAAACAAAAATGTGGAAAACCACCCTTTTTTTTTAAAAGCATTTCTCCAAAAATTAAAGAAGTAGTTGACATGGACAATACTCTGTTATTTGGGGAGGAACACCATAAAGGAGTTTACTCACAGTTTGTGAGTTTCTTTATCACTAATAAAAATGTGTATTTCTTGAGAAATCTGATTATTACATAATTTGACAATATTCTTTTCCTAGCATACTAAAGATGGATTTTTGCAATGTGGCAAAGGGGTTGTGTATTTCAAATTGAAAGGCTGGCTTCTTAAGTTCAAAATTTCAACCTGTCACCCAGAGGTATCCTGGATCGGAAGATGGTATTTAGAATCATTAGGGTAGTCAGTATAGTTTCCTTAAGCAGTAAATAGAATCTCCTGTCCTCGACTCATTTGAAAACCATATCAATCAAATGATTGAAAAATCATTTGAAAACCAAGGAATAACTTACAATATTGCCCATGAGAGCGTCGCATAAATCTTAGACGACGCCCTGTTAATATTCTCTTTCCTGATACGTTACAATCCATTTTCTAGTATTTCCTTTATAAATCCTGCTTCTCTAGAAATGGCTGGATATCTTCACATACGGGGCTGTTGGCATTCTACTGGCTTTGTCTGGGCAGCTTGCAGACTATACAGTTCAGCGCTGTTGTAGTAGGAGCATTTCATTTATTCCTAAGTTCCCTCAGTCCTCTCTCCGTGAAAGATTTCATGGCAAGTTAAGCGACTCAAAGGAAGGAGACCAATTAGGCAGTTTCAGTTGATGTTATATGTACAGCGGAGGCTTAATAACATTAGGAATACAATTGAGGCTCTCTTCTCTACCACTTCAGTTGTGACTAATTTATTCCTACGTGGAGTGGGTGCTCCGGCCGGTTCATTTTCTGAGCAGAGTGGAGGAGGAAAGGCAAGGACCGGGCAGGGCAGAGCGGGGCGCACGCTCACCCTGTGCCTTTCGTCCCCCGCAGGGCTTGCTTTCAGAAATCCTTCGAAAGGAAGAGGACCCCAAGACCGCGTCCCAGTCTTTGCTGGTAAACCTTCGGGCTATGCAGAACTTCTTGCAGTTACCGGAAGCGGAAAGAGATCGAATTTACCAGGATGAGAGGGAAAGGAGCTTGAACGCAGCCTCGGCGATGGGTCCTGCCCCACTGATAAGCACACCGCCCAGCCGCCCTCCCCAGGTGAAGTCTCTTTTTCCTTCTCACTCTTCTTACTGCTTTTGGTTAAAAAAAAAAAAAAAGTTCAAGGGAGAATCTCAACAAGGTATTAGAAAGATGGATGGATAGGGGTTTACCAAAAAAAAAAAAAAATAGTTCATAGAGCTGCTTGAGGACATTTGGGTCGCAAATTACTCATTCTGGTATAAAAACAAGCTACTGATTAGATAGAGGGGGAAAAATTGCTTTGTGTTGCATCATTTTGGGGGTTCTTTGGGGTTGAAAAGTCATCTTTACATGAGATATTTGTCTTTTTTTTTTTTTGATTGAAGTATAGTTGGCTTACAATGTTGTGTTAGTTTCTGGTGTACAGCATAGTGATTCAGCTATATACCTATATGTATTCCTTTTCATATTCTTTTTCATTATAGGCTATCTTCTACTTAAGAAAAGAAAGCGTTAAGTAAAGAAGTATTTTCAACTCAATAGGGAAAAAAATGTAATGAAGTCAGTTTTATCCCTCCGAGTTTTAGATCCACCATTTGAATAGTAAATAAATAAAAATAAATAATTCCATTTGTATTTACGCTTTCCGATAAGAACTGCAGCTGGTCCCAATTACATACCATCTCGTTTGTAATCTTTCATAATTAAGTTTAATACAATCCTTGAAGGCAGCTTTAAATGGGGCTGATAAGGAATTCCATCTGTATTCCCAGAAATGGGCACATTTTCTATTTTCCAAATTTTTGCACTTTTTAGAAAGGGCAAAAGTCACCTTCCAGGTAATTTTGTGTGTACGCATCTGTATTGTTTTTTTTTAATCAAATTTAAAAGGTAGCCTCAAAGAATTCAAAAGAAGTTAATTTTCAGTACAGCTGTCAGATAAAAGATTGACAGTGGTTTAGCCTTGAAATGCATAAGCAGATTTATTTCTTGCACCATTTAATTTGTGGCATGTGCAACTCTTAAAAGTAAGGTCAGCAAAAACTGGATGAAAAGTGAATATGGAATACAAATTTTAAGTATTTATGTAACATAATGTCATAATGAAATTGTATCCTAATGTTAATTTCATCAGTTAAAAAAATAACCATCCATTTCCAAGTATAGAAAGAGAGGAAACGCTCATTCAACACTAAAAATGAAACTGCCACAGATACTCATTTTAAATAAGGAATTGACATAACATACCGCCACTTGTTGAGGGTCTTAAACTGTGTGGTGTACTGTCCTGAAATGATTATTTTTTAGAAACATCACAAACGTCCACTTTCTCCATTTTATTCAGTGAGAATCAATTTGGTCTTGGTGTCTATCGGAGCAAACTGTCAGGCAGTCATGGCTATAACTGTCAGAAAGTCACGTTTCTCCAGCAGAAAAAAATGGCGTCTGTATCCATGCATACACACCCACCTGCCCACACTCACATGCTCATTGAATTTGATCTGTCAAGCCTTGGATGAAATACTTCTCACAAAAAAGAGGGAGAAACTCTTTACATACATATATGACTTTTGTGAGAGGGATGAAACAGAAGGTAAGGTGCTTTGGGCTTGATCTGACGCTTAGTTAAACCGCTTAGTTGTGGCGTTTAGAGTTCATGGCATCATTAGTTCATTTTGCTGCTACCGTCCTCACTGGAAGCCCTCTAGGCAGAATCCTTTTACTTATCACTTAGTCTGCAATACTAACAAAAGAATGTCTTGCTTAAGACCAGTATGAATTTACGCATTGAGCTCTTTTTTTTTTTTAAGTCTGTCCAAATATTTGACTTAATAGTTTCTTAATATAGTTTTTGTTTTCTAATTTTTCTAGGACTTTAATGTTTTTATTTGTTTTCCCCATGTGATTCTGCTGTCTTTACTCATCAGGTGTTTTTCTTTAGCCAAAGTTACATTAACTCATATTTATTTTTGTATACTATTAAGATGTTCTTGGGTTATTTTCTTACACGTATATCTAAAGACTACATGCTGACAAGTTGGGGTAGAAAATAGAATTTATTTTAGCCTGAATTACTGATTAACTGGTTGAGCCACCCTCAGCTGTGTATGTGTTCTCAAGCCGGGTTGAGACCATGCCCTTGGTTGGGGTGGCTATTTAATCATTGATGGACGTATAAAGTCCATAGATAGTGTCACTTCTTACTGAAGCTCTTTCAAAGGAGAAAAATTTACATGAACACAGTATTCTTGGCCATCTAGCCAAATTCTGAAATGATCATCTGATAGGTGAGAATAATTTTATTTCACTGCCATCATTTAAATCTTCAGGGTGTCTTGTGCGCCCTCATTGACAATCCCCTTCCATGACTTAACATCACCCTCACAGAGTTTGTTCACCTTTTACCCTTTGACACTGACTCAGTGAATGGAGTTTTAGGAAATTTGTAAGGTATGAGACGTGTTATCAATGTAAGACGAGTACTTGGGATTTGGAAAAATGAGTTAGAGAGCAGCTGAGCCAGCACCGTTTTGCAGCGGTTGAAGTAAAATGCTTAAGCTGGAACCAGTGTATCACACGTAAGGTTTTAACATGCTAACTTACTAATGACTACAGTGAAAGGGGAAAAAGGATGAGACTGCAGTTACAGAAACAGACTGCAAAGTTTTGTCTTTCTTAATTTTATCTTTGGCCCGAGAGGAGTCTCTGTGACATCACTGTGCATTTCGTCCCCCTCCCCCACCTAATTTAGACAGAACATATTTTGAGCCAAATCTTCGGCTTGGGTTGGATCCAAACTGAGTTTCTTGGCTTGTTGAAGGCAGAGGTCTTGGTGGCTCACAGAAGCCCCAGGCCACATTTAGATCTGAGAAATTGGATTCTCTTCCCTGGAGAGTTTAGGTCACATGGAAGATGTGTGAGGTGACCCTGGGTCATACTAGACAGAGGAGCTAACTATTAAGGAAACAGATTCTAAATCATCTTCAAGAAGGGGCTTCCTTCAGGCCCCTGGTTTTATTCTTAGGAATACCACCCCCCCAACCCTGCTCAGGGAAAACCTAGATGAGCCTCAGGACGCCCTGGTGAGATGTTCCCTGTATGCACTTGTCCCTCACACCTCTGTAGAGGTAGCCACACCAGGAGCTTTGTCTCCTGGCTGGGGCAATGGGCTCCAGGCCAGACCTATCTGCCCAAAGCGTATTTTCCCAATTTATATGCTCTTAATTCAAGAAATACAAATACCTTGCCCTTGATGATGGTTCACACTTTTCTAAGCACCGTCATGTACATGAATTCATTGAGTCCTCATGCCAACCAAGTCCAAGATTTAGTCAGTTTTTAAACCCACCATTAAGTCTGTTGCCTACTTCAAGCTGTCTCCTCAAAACAGACATTTTAGAAAGGAGAAAATGGAACTGGGGGACTCTCCCTGTTTGTCATGGAGGATGAGCAGTTTTACTGTTAGGTTAGGAAGAGGAACGTGCAGAGAACACTCTCCTGTTAGACTGCATCACGTGTGTGGTAGATGACCCATTTTGGAAGACTTTGAGTGATTGGGCATTTCCCCCAAACGTCACTAGTATGGACCCAACCCCTCCAAACGTCCCTGGTCTTAAAGGTTTCTCCTCTGACTGTGCTTGGCAAATATTCCAGATGAGTTTACGAGATGGATTTGATTAATATTAATTAATTACTGTTTTCTGAGGTTAGTCTATTCCAGATCAGTTTTAAGTTGGTTCCTGTGTAGGTGTGTACTTGTTATGGTTTTTAATTTGTGTGTTTTAATACGTGTTGACTTTTGGAGTTAAATTAGCAATTTCTGTCTTCATAAGGACAGTTTGACAGCCTGTAATCATCGGGTTATAACTTCTACGTGAATTATATCATTACTTTTGCCTTTATATTTTTTACATCTCTTCATGTAATTCTTTGTTTTTCCTCCTAATGTAAGATGTGATATTTTATTACAACACTTTAGAAAATGTACGGAGTTTATATAAGCAACATGTAATTAATTTAATCTGATAGCTGCACTTTTCTGTCCCTTTACAACAAATCCTTCAATAATATAATGAAACATAGATTCTAGTTATGGGCAGGAACTTCATGCTTGATAAGTTTTATTTGTTATGAATCCCTTGACCAGTTTTATGTTAAGATTACTTATGTGCTTATAAAATGCTTCTCATTAATAGTCATCTTTTAAAAGTTAGAGGAATTTTGAAAGTCCAGATTTGGAAAGAAATGAATATTGTTTCTACAAAAGGAAGAAAAGCATAAAAAGATATCATCCTGATACTCAAAACAGTGTTAATATATAAAAATTTGAAAATAGGGACTACTTTTTTATTACCAATAGGAATTCCTCAGAGTAGCACATTTCATACACAGCATTACTAAGAACACACTTCTAGTTTGCATAACTTAACTAAATTCAGATTGGAGTCTTTAACCTAACAATAAGACCATTCGCCACTAAAAATTAGATGTTAGTGGGCTAGATTTAGCAAAGGGCTACCAAAAAGCACGTCTTAAAAAATAAGAATTTTTCCAAGTAAAGAAATCCTGTATAAAACATCATAACCTCCGTATATTTGCAGTGGTTTTTAAGATCAGTATTGGCAGTAGACAGACTTAAGTTCAGTTCTCAGCCTTGCCCCATGGACAAATCCCTTAACCTCTTTGTTAGTTTTAAAATGGAGCCGTTTTGCAGGTTTGAGTGCATGTATGTTAACACAGAGCCCTGCTCATGATAAACAACTGATCAATGTTAGTCTCTGTTATCATTAATAATCGTTATTAAAACTCCATCAACCTTTATGTGTGTGCACGCTCTCACGCACGTGTGCAACTTGTGTGTGCAGGAAATTCCTCCCACGTCAGGGAACAGCACAGTCACCAAGCAGGACCCCAGTGGAGTCCGCTCTGTGCAGCATGTACATAGGTAGCACACGGGGGCGTGTGGAGTGTGTATGGTCCATTATGTGGTGTGGGTTGATGGATTCAACAGTCCGTGAAGAAGCAAAAAAGACTTTGCATGGAAAATGTGTGTCCTCCTGCAGTTTCAATGAAATGAAACACAGACCCCAGTGCTGCACCCTATCCTCACGTGGAAGGGTAAATACCAAAACTCCAATCCTTAACTACTTCCCCGGCGCCGCCGTAATGATGGAGTAGAACCCGCTACCTTGATAAAAGCTATTCGGAAAGCGACTGCATTTATTTTACCTCCTGTGTTATTTGCGGAGAAGAGCTGAAGAGTAGTTTGTTTTGCCTGGAATGAGCTACTTTATGAATTTTAATGTGTGATATAATATTAAAAGCTAAACCAGGATTAAAGAAGATTTTTTTCGGTGCTAAGCTAAAATAGTACTTAGTAGAGTGAGGTATAAAAGATTCTTGTTTCCATTTTTACCTGGGGGAAAAAAAATTCAGCTTTCATATTTTTGAAAAGCTGTCCAAGTCAGTTCCCCTTAAGCAATAGCTTGTGTTTAGGGAGAAAAAATGTGATTCCAAAATTCTAATAGCTTATCTGTGATAAGATGCATATCCGAGCCAACAAGATGATAAAGAAAAGCTTTTCTAAATATTTCTTAAGTGAGTAATACAGTTTCTTATTATTTTTAAAAGTTGTTGCTCTCGCTTTTTTTTTTTTTAAGTGTTTCATGTTACTTCTTTTCCACTTCTGATTGTGTTGGCTACTAGGAAATGGTTCTTTGATTTTTTTTTTAATGATTTAAAAGTTTTGTTTTTTGGTTCAAGTTGTAATTGCTTTATTTAAAAAAAAAATTAAAGCCAAGAAAATTTTAGCAAGAAAATCACAGGGTTGAAACAAATGATGATAGCCCACCTCGAAGATACATTCTTAAGCGTAATTTTTACAAAGGAATGAAAATTATTTTAAAAACACTGAGTTTCCAAAGTCTGCTCTCTGAACTATGCAGATTGCTACCAAGGAACTATTTCTTCCAGTGCGCTGGACTTCACACCTCCATTTCCATAACATTCAATTTTCAAAGCGATTGAAATGGCTTTTCTTTTCTCTTTCATTTAAGCAGTGAGAAAAATAGGTATTAAAAGGGACCCCATGGGGTGATCAAATCTATCCTTCTGCCTCAAAGCAAGACCACCCCAGAGCAAATTTGCGAATCTCACCAAAGCAACTTTGTAGGCAATTTATGGTAATGCGTTAACTCTTCTGGCTCCTAAAGTGGTGTTTAGCAGATTATTGCTTCAAAGCCCTGTGTCTGTGCCTAGTGGTCTCCAGTCGTTAATATACCTCCGTGAGTGCCCTTGCTTACGAATCACAGAGCTGGCAGGGGACAGCTGGAAATCTAACCCCTGCTCTTGCCGTCTCTGTCCCCGGATTATGGTTTGGGACAAGCCAGTGAGGCCAGCCTGTTGGGTACTTGTTCTGCCTCACCTTCTGCATCCTCACTTGGGGCGTGTGGTCCAGCCGTTTCTCATCATCATCCTTTCCGCACTCACAAGGGTCCAGGTGGGAGAGTCTAGCTGCCTCCTCCAGATAAGCCCGAGGTGAGTTCTTTTGCTAACTGGCTAGAAGTTAGGAGTCAGAAGGCACGTTTTAAAGGAGCCTCATCTTTACTCTGTAAGTGTAGGGAATTAAATTGCTTAGAATAACCTCCGCCCCTCTTTTGATATCAAATATTTAGGGGCAGGGTGAAATAAACATTGCAAGACTTGCTGCACAACCAGGAGGAATGTCATTTAGTGTCAGAAGATCATTTGTTTATCTTAAAATGAGCTTCATTTTCTGTTATTCATAGTGGATGAGAGAAATGGTCCGAGATGGTAAGTTTCTAGAGCACAGAAACCTGGGCTCTGTAAAGGACCCTAAGAAACGCGGTTCTTGATGAATCATTTTGTCAGGAGAAACATGGTCCTGCATCTGTGGTAACTTTTCATGTATGTTTTCATCAGTTTCCCAGAAAACAGCTGCCCCATGGTTCATGTGTAAATTTCACAGGCTGGTTCATGTATCTGCATGGTAAAAATCAAATTTTTATCTTAAAGATTTAAAGTTTTAAAGATTCTTTTTTAACTGTTGAAAATTAATGATGGCATCAATAAACCTTGAGGTTATTTGATTTTCCCATGTTTTGTGGCATTTTTCTGCTGATATCTGTTTATGATTATTCCCAAAGGCATTGATACTGACTTTGCACTCAAAATTATACATTTTGCATATACCTGGAAAGTCACTGATGATATATTTTGTGTAGCTTGCAGTCATATTCTATTAAATTTTGTGAAACAGTCTCTTATCATCTGGCTCCACAAGTCAAAAGGAGATAGTTATATACAGGGGTGCCAGGAAACGATGAAATAATTATACAGAACAGCTTGGACATGCACTTGTAAAATGCAACCAGCCTTTATGATAATTAAGCAAGGCACTCTACCTGTTTCATGGATGGGTAGAAGATTTAAATATGCAGCTCTGCAAATGGCTTTGTTATGGAAGATTTTTTAAATGAAACATAAGAGGAAAAGGCATAAAAGAAGAGTCTAAAATGAAAAAGGCCATAGTATGTAATCACTATTAGTGATGCAGTTGTCTGTCAGGCACCCGGTACCCAGTGAAGATACGGCAGTGTGCATTATAATTTTAATTGTGAATTTCCTTTGTTAGAATGGCAATGGAAGGTAATTGGGAAACAATTAGTTTAGGGTTTTCAAGTCTTTGAAACTACCCCGTTTTCCAGAAAACTTACTTTATGGCATTATAATTCCTGGCTGTCAGCTGGCGGTTGCTGTCATATTACAGATGCAATCACCTGTGACAGTGTGACTCCCTTAACTTAAGCAGTCTGATCTCCGGGTAATAACTAATGTTGAATGACCGCCCTGTTGGTCACCTTGATCGTAAAAGGAGCGACACTGTCCAGTTTGGATGCCCAGCCTGAGAAGCTTCAGAACCATTTGGCCAGTGGAAAATGACAGGCATGTCCAAAATGTTTTGTAGGTGAAAACGGCTACTATTGCCACGGAGAGAAATGGGAAACCAGAGAACAACACCATGAACATTAATGCTTCCATTTACGACGAGATTCAGCAGGAAATGAAGCGCGCTAAGGTTTCCCAAGCACTGTTTGCAAAGGTGGCAGCAACCAAAAGCCAGGTAAGAGCCTCTGTCAGGCATTGAGAACTCCGAGCTGCGTTACCTGGGAAGGCCCACTCAGAGGGGTGTCACTTCTCAGTTGGAACTGGCGTCCCTGAGAGGTCACGGTCTCCAGGGTGTTCAGATTCAGGGTAACAGACACTTGGCTGGGTTTCCTCCAACACCCACTCTCCAAACCACGGATTTCTCGGCAAGTCCCCGAGTCGGTTAATCGTTTCCAGAAGCGTATTGTCATGTGTCATTCCTCCAGCTGGTCTAGGTAGTGGAACAAATAACTTGAATTACTATTATTTCATTAGTACTTCGATGACCTTCACTTCCATCCTAAAATACTACAAACATGATCTCTTTTTTCTGTTCCAACTCAGACATCTGAAACTATTAGGTGCACTTATTAAAACAGACACACACACTCACATATGTGTTTGCATATTAATGATTTTAGTTTTTCTATAAATATATGTAATATGTAGGTATATAATGTATAGTAAATAAAATAAATATAATAAATATATAATCATAATAAATAAAATAAATATATATGATACAAATTTAATTACAATTAGAAAAACTGCCTAAATCTTTTGACTTATAAAGGAATAGAATGGAATTGGAGAAGTCAAAAATTCCTACAAGATGAAGACATAATGAAGGATGGATAATGGAGTCTTTTATCAGTAGGTTTGTCATATGTTGATCATATATATTCATCCAAAGTAGAGTCATCTGTAGGAACAAACTTAGAGTTATCTACAGCCCTGTGTTCAAAGCCGAGAATACTTTTAAAGGACCGGAAGGATACTGAAGTCTCTTCCCGTTTGCAAAAGGATTTGAAAACACTATCAAGGTGGGACTGAGAGGCAGTCAGGGGATCGAATGAGATCTTAACAACTTGAAATTTTAAACAAATATACTTCACTGTCATTAATGAACTCGCCTTTATAAAACAGCCTGGCTGCTGTCAACTTCCGATAAAATGATACAATCCTGAGAGTATTTCCAATATGACGGACGTATTTACCGTACGATACTTTCACGATTCGCTTTTTCTGAAATTATCAACGTTAATAGCGGTAACTTGAGGGGAGTTTTGCTTTGGAAACGGTTGTTCTTGTTTTAAGTTATAGGCTAGATGAAATTCTTCAGGGATATCTTGGAAATGTTATATAAAAATGATTAAACTCAAGCTGTGGACTGTAAAAATTACAGCTTTATAGGCCACACGCCTGCCTACCCTTCAATCACTGTCAAAGTGATAATTTCTACAATAATATGTTTCTTTTATTGTGAGATTCTAAACATCAAGTGCTGTTTAAACATTAAACGGAATTGTTTATGTTAGCGCCTCACTCAGTGTGTCACACATCGGGCCACCGTAATCTCTCATGGAATGTAAAATTCTGTCATGAATCATGGCTTGTATATCGGAAATTACTGTAATTTTGATTGGAAATTACAGGGCTCTTGAAATGTTTCTAATTATGATAGAATGTTAGAGCCGCTTCAAACCTGTGTGCGTCTTTAGATATCTTCACTGACATGCCAAGACGAGGCACTGAGGAGAAATGTCCTGCTCTCACGTCATCCTCCCACCCTGCACCTCCTTGTTTGGGCCACTTAGTCTAATTATGATGAGGATCTCATATTTAAACATATATCATCCTGTCTTTCTTTCTGATTCTCCATCTCTTCTGACCTGTCCCATTAAATGATGGGGACTCACAGTCTGTCTTCCTACAGGGCCACTTTCCCCAGATCTCCAAGGTAGATAGACAGAGAATTGAAATGTGTTATTGTGATGAGGGTCTGCTCTAAAACCAACCAACAAAAATAAATCTTGAAAGTTTTTGGTGCTTGGCATCAGTCATTTAATGACCGCCTGCCCCCGCCCTCCTTCCTGGCTAGAGCATCACTTCTTCTGGCCAGCAGCTTCTTTTGCTACCTTCATTCTTTTCTTTCTTTAAAATGAGATCCCAGATTCTCCACACCTGGGCTGGGTTTCTGATGTGGGGACTATTCACACAGTGGCAGCTGTTGGTTGATAGCAAGTGTGAGTCATGCTCTGAGTGCTGTGTGTGATCATGTGAGTGATGTTCTGAGTTTCTGAACATCCTTGTTCCTTGTACCCCTGTCCTGTGAAGCTCCCCCTGAGTCACCTTCAACGATGTCAGTTGGCAGCTTCTGTGTATCTGCCCTGATGGTGTGTTCCCCAGAACCCCCAGAGCTGCACGCTGTCTCCTCCTTACTGGTGGAAGGAGAATTCAAGAGGGCCAGTTGTAGGCTATTGGGGTCCAGCCAACTGTTAACTTTCATTCTCTCCAGATAGGTATTCCTAACTACTAATTTACTGTAACTTCCTAGCAGAGCATTTTTGTAGCTTTCTCTTAGCTGTTCAGTTTTGATGTTAGCACAACCTTCTTTACGAAAATATAAAGATGGATCATTACTGAAAAATAAGACAGTCCAAAAACTGCATGTATTCCCAGGAGAGGAGGTCTGACTTCACAAGGGAAGGTCATCATTTACTTAAATTCTGTTCTCCTGCCGTGATTTTTGTGAAGGAAATAGAAAAACTAAAACACAAAAAAAGAATCTTCCAATCAGACTGACCTTTTTCATAGTCAGAATTCTTAACGTGTAACAGAGTTAGTTATTCCTTGGATGCAGGTGATGAGGCTTGTCAGAGTGAGGCAGGGATCCCCCCAAATGAAGGGCATGTGAAGAGGGAAGAGCTGGAACCACTCGTATCTCAGCTGGTCCAGCCGCAGCTGCTTCTGTGTCTTGCCCTGATTCTCTAGGTTGGCTTAACATTCATCACCCCTGTTGTGCTAGACCCCACCGTGCGTTGTAGATGATCTGCATTTAGTTCTCAGGGTAGCCCTGTGGGCTGCAACGTTGATTTCCTCGGTTACACCTGAGAGTCACTTGACTAATAAGAAGCAGGGCCAGCCCTGAATTCTCTGCATCTCCCTGACTATTGCAGTGCCTCCTCAGGGTTCCAGGGAGCATCAAGACTGAAGTTATCCTCTGCCCCAGGAAAGAGAAATTAAGGGATGCTGGATGACTTGATAGCGGAAATAGTGGGGACTTTCCTTTCTTTATTGACATATTCATGGAATATGGCTTCTTGCCTACATAGGGCCCTCGGAATCCAAGTTTCTTCATGGCTGTTTGGGGCTGGGGTACGGAGAAAGTGTAGTGATGGAGGACTCAAAGGAGACTACAATCCAAGCTGTGTCACTGGTGTCACAGTATTGGGAAATGATTTAACCTTAATGAGCCCAAAATCCTTTTTCACATGGGAAGGGGTCACATGCTGGACAGAAGAGCTTTTAAATTGACAGCACTGCACACAAATGGATAATGTCTCAGAACGTGCTGAGCAAGGGGCTCAGACCTCCACACGGAGTGACGTATGTGTTATCTCTGTATGTATCTCAGAAACCTTTCCGTTTCAAAGGTAAAGCTTTCAAGTCAGGCCCCTACATGGCAGACGGCATAATTATTTTAAAGATGACAGCCCCAGAATGTCATGGAACCAGACCCGTCGTCACTGTGGCATGCAGTGACTAAGGCACAACGTATTTTCAGTAAAAGACACCGACTGCAGATTCCACCATTTCACTTGTATTATATTATCTCTTCTCTCCAATGAGTAATAGAAATGAGATTGTTTTTAGCCCTAATAGAAATGTCTGAATAAAATATGCATACTGAAGGCAGGCTACTTTTTGTGCTTGAGTAGGAAAGCACGCTCGTGCAAACTTTAAAAAGATGAGATGTTCTAACCATATGCGAATAACGCCAAATGAATACATTTTATATTCTGAATATTCAAATAAGAAGCCTTTTGTTTTCCAAGTGAATCGTATTGGAATTTGATCAAACATTTAGTCTGATAACATTCAAATAATTATGAGAGCAGAATTCACTAATTTTACTGTTTTTAAAAAAAAAATAGTTGATTTGGGTAATAACCATTACGGTATCAAGGTTCAGTTACTGTTCATTGGTTATAGTGTTTTCATATGGGAGATGGAAATGGAATTTTTTCCTTAATGGTGGCAGATGTTGGAATCTAATTTTATGCCACAGCAAACCCCCTGAGAGCTCTGGGACTAAAGGTGTATGTCCAGCAAGGGGACATTAGCAGCACCGGAGGCCTTGCCTTGTACATTGAATTGTTACATTGATTTTCATGTCTGCAGAGTTAGAGCTGCAAATGCAGTAATGCAGGCAGAGGAAAGGCTTGTACAGAGCCGCTGCGTTGCCGCTCGCGTTTGGAAAATGATTTCTCTCTGGTGCTTTAGTGAACAGGATGCTTCTTTGAGGTAAAGCCACGAGGTGATGGAAGTTCTATTTGACTGAACGTGTTTTCCACAGTCTTCTGCAGTTTCTCCCCACCAGTCCTGTGGAGTTACTGGACTCTTTGGTTACTACACCTTCACCTGGTTGTGATAGGTGTGGTTTTTAACCCTCAAAAAAGAATTCCTGCCTCTGTGAAGGTAGCAGGACCAGTAGAAGAAACAAGAGAATTCAAAGGCGTTGGCTTTCTTCCATCGACTTTTCAGACACTTGTCACCTCCAGTATGAAAGAGAAGGGAGGGTGAGAAAGCTTTAGCGCTCTTTGGGCCTGTAGGTGGGTGGGAGCGGGTGAAGCGTCTTTCCGACCTTTGGATTTGGAAATTCTTAGATGGTGATCGGAATGCCTTAGATACAAGTGACATATGATATGTCACAAGTCAGTGGCAGAGGGGTAGAAATAGGGCTAAAAATGTCATTTTCATGGCTGGTTATAGGAATCCATGGTGACAAAATCCAGGGGGGCAAAAAAAAATCACAGAACCATGCCTGCGTGCTGTATTCTAGCACGTCAGTGAAGGCATCTTTTATTTTGTTAGAATTAAATCACACTTCCTGGAAACGACACTGTGAAGCTCTGTGCTGATTCATCCTTTTGGAATGTTCGTGTAACCAGACTTTGCGGCAACACGACTTCA